CCCCCCCCCCCAAAGTCCTCCTAATTTTTTTTTTTTCTTAATTGGTGGATATTAAATCAAAGCCTGCATTCAGGAAAGTCCCCAGCTGGCTCCAGCCAAACGCTTCCTCTCCCACCCCCCTCCCAGAGTGGCATTCGACACCCGCATTTTTCAAACCTGATGCAATGGGTTGCATCCCTCTTTACTGGGGTGTTAATGATACCCTGCGTATGGGTTGACTGTTCGGTATCTGGAGAGCCCTAGGTTCATCACTTCCAGGCTAAAGGGCAGCTGCGTGCAATGTATCAGGAAGCACAAAGAACTGGGTTTCTGGGGTGGGTTTTTAACTGGGAGCCCAGATCGCCAAGCGGTCGAGGGCTCTGTCTGTCCAGTCGTTGCTGCCATGTTTGCACTGTGGCTCACAGGTCCGTATTTTCTCTTTGGCCCGCAGACTCCTCTTCACCTGGCAGTGATCACTGATCAGCCCGAAATTGCCGAGCATCTCCTGAAGGCAGGATGCGACCTGGAAATCAGGGACTTCCGCGGAAACAGCCCCCTGCACATTGCCTGCGAGCAGGGCTCCCTGGGGAGCGTCAGCGTCCTCACGCAGTGCTGCCAGCCGCACCACCTCCGCGCCGTCCTGCAGGCAACCAACTACAATGGTACGGGCACGGCGCTGTGCGTCCCTGTCGGCGTGCTGTACCCAGGCAGGGTCGTTGTCCTCTAACGCTCAAAGAGCCATGAGGAGGTGGAGAAGGATCGTTACGCCCATTTGGGAGTTGAGGAGCCCAAAGCATGCAGCAGTGTCTGGCTTCTTTAAAATGGCACTGTCCTGTAGGCCTCCTCACTGTTGTTTTTTGGCTCTCATGGCTTTGAATTTTGCATTTTTAGTGAGTACTTTTGTGGTGCTCCTTTTGGGTTTTTTTTGATTAAAAATAAATTGCAGTGAAATACTGGAATAAAGCCTCTAAGAAATCTTTCCAAAACCCAGCCCTGTTATTCATACTTACTGGAAGCTGGAAAGCTCTTCTGGAAAACACCCTTTTGCCAGGGATGAATCGCAAACTTAGACACCATCATCTTGAGTTGAACTGGGCATTAGCTTAGACTTACTCAAACTTTACCTTCATTTGTATTTTGTAGGACATACATGTCTCCATCTGGCGTCTATTCAAGGATACCTGGCTATTGTTGAATACTTGCTGTCCTTGGGAGCAGATGTGAATGCTCAGGTATGTAATGTATACTGTGAATTTAAGCAAGCAGGGCTGTGCAGTCATAACAGTCAAGAGGTTTGGCACCGGCTCTGGCTCTCCTAACATGCCAAACCTTGTGTAATTTCCCCACAGGAGCCATGCAATGGCAGAACAGCACTACATTTGGCTGTTGACCTGCAGAATTCAGACCTGGTGTCACTTCTGGTGAAGCATGGGGCAGATGTGAACAAAGTGACCTACCAGGGGTATTCCCCCTATCAGCTCACGTGGGGAAGAGACAACTCCAGCATCCAGGACCAGCTGAAGCAGCTGACCACGGCCAACCTGCAGATGTTGCCAGAAAGTGAGGACGAGGAGAGCAGTGAATCGGAGCCTGAATTCACAGAGGATGAAGTAAGTAGCTGTTTGCACCTTTTCGAGAGACGGGGAAAATTCTGCTCTTTGTGCTCTGATGACATGCTCCAGTGACCTCTCACCTATATAACCAATGGGCATAAATAGCCCATAAGGGAAGGTTACGCTGCCAGCCATCAGCAAGATGGCAGTAAGGGCAAGCATATAAATAGAATAAATTTAAGAGTAAAATGTGAAAAACACATGAGGGAACAGAGGTTAACTTCACGCAACAGGAGTCTCTGTTGGTGACACCTACAGAACCTCGTGAGATAAAATTCAAGTTAATGGGTGGTTTGCTCCTCCCCAGCATTTGTTTTTCTAATGTTCTCAGTGCTGTTAAATGGCAAATGTAACCATTTCAGTGTAGAAATTTTATACACCACCAAAGTCAGGGCATGCAGAATTTGGCAGTTATCCCAGAGTAGAGGTGATACTCCCAGAAAGAGCTTTGCATTAACAGCCTTTTGTTTTTTCTTCCAGCTTATGTATGATGACTGCCTTATTGGAGGACGACAGCTGGCGTTTTAAAGCAGCGCTTTCTGTGAAAAGAAGGGACTGTGTACATATGTATACAAAAAGGACTGACTTTCTTCATTTAAAAAGAAAGTCGCAAAGCAGAGGGAGAAACCAGGAGGGAAATTCTACACGGCCCAGCAAGGAGCACATTACTGTGGCAGGACGGTTCCAGGTTCCGGCCTGTGTTTAAACACAGGAGTGGGATGTGTAACAGCAGTAGAGATCTGTGATTATTCACACCACCTGATAAAGAGCCACGTAGCCAGTCCTCTCAGCCCTGCAAAGGTTGCAGACCACACATCCAGCCTGCTAGTTACAGAGAGCTATCTTGTGGCACTAAGTACCATGAGGAATGCTTTTCCTCTGGCAGCAAGGAGGGCTCGTGTGAATGCCCCAGCTTCTTCCGAGAAGTGTCCGGACTGCGTGTGAATTTATGTTGGGGTGATGGCCCTCCTTGGCCTTACTGACCGACTTCAGCTGCTCTCGGCGGGGTGTCCCGCACAGAGGAGTCAAACCAAGGGACCGGGGGCCTCCTGGCTGTTGGGAGAAAGGTAGCAATGATGTTAACTGTGGGCATTGGAAACAGTGTGTTTCACACCATGTGTGTCATAATTGCTACACTTTTTTAGCAATTGTATATTGTGTAAATACTGTACATAATTTGTTTATAATTATTTTGGTACATGTGAGATATGTATTTATTAAAAAAAGATCACTGGACCTGGTCTGTTCATTGCCCAGCTTGTGGTCCTGAGATAACGTGGGATCACCCGGTTCGCTTTTTAAGAAACCTTTAACACCTAGCAGACCAAGGGGGTCGTGGGCTCAGGGCTTTCAGGCAGTTCGCCTCGGCAGCGGTGAGGCATCGAAGCAGCCCTCGGCCCTGCTGCTGCAGCTAATTTTGGAAGCAGACGTAGGTGTCGTTTCCTGCGCCCGTTGCGGCAGGCGGGTCGGGGAGCTGGGATTCCCCCTCTGCCACCCAAGCGCCCGGCTGCGGGAGAGGTGTTTTGGGGCCCTTGGTGGCAGCACCCACCCACCTGCCCGCCTTCGTGGCACCTTCTGCTCCAGCCGCCGGCCGCTCTTGCCGGGACTTGCTAGGTAAGGCTGGAGGGTCGCCGCCCCGCC